CACTCGAATTTACTGCACTTTAATTGAGTTTGCGCTTTAATCGCTAGTGTTTTGCACTAATTGTGTGTTTTATGCCTTGTAGGTGTGATTCCGAGCTATATAGATGTTATGGAATGAATTTAAGTGATTTGAAGCTTTGAAGTCTGAGTAAAAGCTCAAGGAATTAAGCCGGGATCGTGTTCGGGGGTCAAATTTGATAATTAAGTACGAACGAAGGCTTGAGGAGGCATATTGCGCACTGTCTAGTAAAATAGACATAACTTTTTGCTCGGAACTCCATTTGGGCTCCACAATATATGGTTGGAAAGCTAACTCAAAGGGCTACAACTTTCATGTTTTATGTTTTTCCAAATTCCAAAGGGAACAGGGTCAAAAACCGCGGTTTTTCCGCGACCGCGGCAGAACCGCGGCAGAACCGCGGCAGAGTGTACTCGCGGACAACTGAAGAATCAGAGGGCATGTTTGGCCGCGGTTCCACCGCGACCGCGGCCAAACCGCGGCAGGAAGCGATAATTTCAGGGACTAAAGTGCAAAACATGGGATTTTAAGTCCTAAACCCTATATTAAACAAAGGAGGCCGGCCAAGAAAAAGGGGGGACATATTTTGGACACAAATTAGACCTAAGGAGGCGGAGAGACACTAATTTAGGGTTAGACAACACCCTTGGAGGCAAGAACACATCGGGAGCAAGGCGGAGAATTCTTCTACGAGTTTTTTCCTTCCTCTTCCTATATTTTTCATTGTTGGTTATGACTTTTAGTATTGTAGTTTTACATACTATTATGAATAGCTAATTTGTTATCTAGAGTTTTGATAGAACCTTTTGTAGGGTAAATTCTTGTTATATTTTTATATAATTGAGCCATAGCTTTTCTCTATTTGTTCAACTACGTTTATATTGTGGTTGGTTGAAGAGCTCTCAATTAGCTGTGCCTATTTAGTATGCATAACTCGGGATAGAGTGCATATTTAGGTAATTGTTGAACAACACCACTCCCCGAGTATATGAGGGATCAATAACCGAGGGTTTAAGGCGGGATTAGGGATAACGAAGCCTTGGGTGCGATCTGAAGTGAGCTGTAGTAATAGCCAGCTAGCGTAGCTCGGGGAGAGNTATCAAGTGTTAGCGAAATGCGTCAATCTCTTTGATCTTCCATATTCATATTTCAAGATCTATTAAATTCTTACATCTTTTTTGAATTTGAAATGGTATTTTAATATTTTAAAATTAAATAGAACTTATCATTATTTAGGTATCATATTAATTTTTATAATTAATTACTAAATCCGATTAATCGGGAAAGCGTACATCAACGAAAAATTATTGTTAGACGTAGTACATCAAAATTTTAACAAAGTAAGATTGAAGTAATATTCATGTAATAGAAACTCCGAAAAACTCAAAAAACTCGACCAAAACAAACCAATCCGAACTGATATACTCCTAGTTAATTTGGTTTAGTTTTGATAAAATGGAACCAACTCGATCCATACACACCACTCCTAAATTACAACCTATCAAATTTCAGCAGCGATCTTATATGTAAGTTGTTAGTTAGTAAGTACTATAATAATTGTTGCATCTACAAGATAATTATTCGCATGTTAAAAAATGTAGCTCAAAGTAACAATATAAAACAAGAAGATAAGTAGAATAAGAGAAGAAGAGATAACTTTCTTATTTCATCAAGTGTTCAAGTGTATTCCATCTCATATTTCATGCCTCTATTTATACTATTACATATGAAGGTTACAAAATCATTGTCTTAAACATGGCATTAACAATTGAGATCATGGGGGAAGATCATGGGAGGGGTTATGGAGGTGTGAGAGTTACAATCATAATGGTGATGAGTAGTGGGAGGTAATTTACATCATGGGTAAAAGTAGTTGGAGTAGTGGACATCCACATTTACTAAATATTTTATAACACTCCCCCTTGGATGTCCAAAAAAATAGATAATATGCCTCGTTAAAACCTTAATAAGAAAAAATCCTGTGGGAAAAAATCTTAGTGAAGGAAAAAGAGTACACATATCTCTAATACGCTTTATTTGCTGCCTCGTTAAAAACCTTACGAGTAAAACCGAGTGGGACAAAACCTAGGCTAAGGGAAAAAGAGTACAGCGCGTATCTTACTCCCCCTCATGAAAATATCACTTTATTTCTCGAAGACGTCGCATTCCAATCTTCTTTCTCAACTTCTCAAATGTTGAGGTTGGTAAAGCCTTAGTGAACAGATCAGCCAAAATTTTCACATGAACGAATCTGTTGAACATTAATTTCACCATTTTGATGAAGATCATGCGTGAAAAAGAACTTTGGTGAAATATGCTTTGTTCTGTCTCCTTTGATGTATCCTCCTTTCAGTTGAGCAATACAAGCAGCATTGTCTTCATATAGTATTGTTGGATTATCCTTTTTCATAAGAAAACCACACATTTCCTGAATATGCTGAGTCATTGATCTTAACCAAACACATTCCCGACTAGCTTCATGAATGGCTATTATCTCAGCATGATTTGAAGATGTGGCAGCTATTGTTTGTTTCATTGAACACCATGATATAGCAGTACCTCCATATGTAAACAAACAGCCTGTTTGAGATCGGGCTTTGTGTGGATCAGACAAATAACCTGCATCGGCATAGCCAATCATTTCTGACTTGAATTCATTAGAATAAAACAATCCCATATCTATGGTTCCCCGAAGATATCTAAATATATGCTTAACACCATTCCAATGTCTTCTTGTTGGGGAGGAGCTGAATCTTGCTAATAAGCTCACTGCAAAAGCAATATCTGGTCGAGTATTGTTGGCAAGATACATCAGTGCCCCAATTGCACTAAGATATGGAGTTTCATCACCAACGAGCTATTCATCATTTTCTTGAGGCCGAAATGGATCTTTATTTATATCAAGCGATCTCACAACCATTGGGGTACACAATGGATGTGCATTATCCATGTAAAATCGCTTTAAAACCTTTTCAGTATATGTTGATTGATGGACAAAAATTCCATTTGATACATGCTCACTTTGTAGGCCAAGACAAAATTTTGTCTTACCAAGATCTTTCATTTCAAACTCTTTCTTCAAACACTCTACAGCCTTTGGAAGCTCTTTAGAAGTGCCAATGATATGCAAGTCATCAACATACACGGCTATGATGACAAATTCAGATCCAGACCTCTTAATAAAGACACAAGGGCAAATAGGGTCATTTTTGTACCCTTCCTTTAGCAAATACCCGCTAAGGCGATTGTACCACATCCTCCCTGATTGCTTTAATCCGTATAAGGATTTCTGAAGCTTTATTGAACAAGTTTCTCTTGAACTTTTATGTGCTTCAGGAACTTTAAATCCTTCAGGGATTTTCATAAAAATTTCATTATCCAGTGAGCCATATAAGTAGGCTGTGACAACATCCATCAATCGCATATCAAGCTTTTCATGGACTGCCAGATTTATTAGATACCTGAAGGTAATTGCATCTACCACAGGAGAATATGTCTCCATATAATCAATGCCAGGCCTTTGCGAAAACCCTTGTGCCACACGTCGTGCTTTATATCTTACGACTTCACCTTTCTCATTTCGTTTTCGCACAAAAACCCATTTGTACCCCATTGGCTTGACACCTTCAGGCGTTCGGACTATTGGTCCGAAAACTTCATGTTTTTCGAGTGAAGCCAATTCAGCTTGAATTGCATTTTTTCATTTTGGCCAATCATTTCTCTGTCTAAATTCATCGACAGATTTTTGGCTCAAGATCCTCATCTTGTTGCATTATTTCAAACTGCAAACATTTATATGCAAAAATTGTGTTAAC